CCACTCGTGATTTTATAGACCTCTATCAAAATTAGTCCGAAGCAGGAATTATGGATGCGCTACCTCGAATTAGAGCCCCAGGAGGTACTGGGGAGTAATTCCTTCGATAGCCCTGGGGAGGAGCTATTTTGAAGTAGCGGTAGTGGGGTGTCCACACTTCTGCGATTCCGAAACAGCTATTTCGGAATAAGCATTATTCCTCGTGGAATGAGGTTTACAGATTTCAAAATAAGCCGCCCGTGATTTCGAAATTATTTCGAAATAACAGAATTGCTCTGCAGCTGCTCGCGTTGTTGTTTCGAAAGAACGTCAGTTCTACAGAACCCCTAGTATTGACTGGATACATGTTACCTCAGGAAGAGAAGCGGAGATAAAATTTCTCAATGGCTTAAATGACTGCTTCTTGGAGCAGCTGGTGCAGGAACCCACAAGGGGAGAGGCAATTCTCGATTTAGTCCTGAGTGGAGTGCAGGATCAGGTCCAGGATATAACCGTTACAGGACCGCTTGGGAATAGTGACCATAATATAATAACATTCAACATTCCTGTGGTGGGAAGAACACCTCAGCAGTCCAGCACCCTGGCATTTAATTTCAAAAAGGGGAATTACACAAAAATGAGGAGGTTTGTTAAACAGAAATTAAAAGGCACAGTGACTAGAGCCAAATCCCTGAAAGCTGCATGGAAACTTTTTAAAGACACCATAATAGAGGCCCAACTTAAATGTATACCCCAAATTAAAAAACATAGCAAGAGACCTAAAAAAGAGTCACCGTGGCTTAACCACCATGTAAAAGAAGCAGTGAGGGACAAAAAGGTATCTTTTAAGAAGTGGAAGTCCAATCCTAGTGAGATAAATAGAAAGGAACATAAACACTGTCAAATCAAGTGTAAACATGTAATAAGAAAAGCAAAAAAAGATTTTGAGGAACAGCTAGCCAAAAACTCAAAAAGAAATAACAAAATGTTTTTTAAGTACATTAGAAGCAGGAAGCCTGCTAAAAAACCTGTGGGTCCCCTAGATGATCGAGCTATAAAAGGAGCAATCAAGGACGATAAAGCCATTGCGGAGAAACTAAATGATTTCTTTGCTTCAGTCTTCACGGCTGAGGACGTTGGGGAGATTCCTGAATCTGCACCGTCCTTTGTGGGTGATGAATCTGAGGAACTGTCCTGGATTGAAGTGTCATTAGAGGAGGTTTTGGAACAAATAGAAAAACTTAATGTTAACAAATCTCCGGGACCAGATGGCATTCATCCTAGGGTTCTAAAAGAACTTAAATGGGAAATTGCTGAGCTATTATTATCTGTGGTTTGTAACCTATCCTTTAAATCAGCTTCTGTACCTAATGACTGGAAGGTAGCCAACGTGACACCAATATTTAAAAAGGGGCGATCCTGGCAATTACAGACCGGTAAGTCTAACTTCAGTACCGGGCAAATTAGTCGAAACAATAGTAAAGAATAAAATTGTGAAGCATGTAGAAGAACATAATTTGTTGGACAAAAGTCAACATGGTTTCTGTAAAGGGAAATCCTGTCTTACTAATCTATTAGAGTTCTTTGAAGGGGTTAACAAACATGCGGACAAGGGGGATCCAGTAGATATAGTATACTTGGATTTTCAGAAAGCCTTTGACAAGGTCCCTCACCAAAGGCTCTTGTGTAAATTACATGGCCATGGGATAAGAGGGAAGGTCCTTTCTTGGATTGAGAACTGGTTAAAAGACAGGAAACAAAGGGTAGGAATAAATGGTAAATTTTCAGATTGGAGAGGGGTAACTAGTGGTGTACCCCAAGGGTCAGTCCTGGGACCAATCCTTTTCAACTTATTCATAAATGATCTGGAGAAAGGGGTAAGCAGTGAGGTAGTAAAGTTTGCAGATGATACCAAACTGTTTAGGATAGTCAAGACAGAAGCAGACTGTGAGGGACTCCAAGAAGATCTCACCAAACTGAGTGATTGGGCAACAAAATGGCAAATGAAATTTAATGTGGATAAGTGTAAAGTAATGCACATCGGGAAAAATAACCCCAACTATACGTACAGTATGATGGGGGCTAATTTGGCTACGACAAATCAGGAAAGAGATCTTGGAGTTATCGTGGACAGTTCTCTGAACACTTCCACGCAGTGTGCAGCGGCGGTCAAAAAGGCAAATAGGATGCTAGGAATTATTAGGAAAGGGATAGAAAATAAGACCCAGAATATCTTACTGCCCCTGTATAAAACTATGGTACGCCCACATCTTGAATACTGTGTACAGATGTGGTCTCCTCACCTCAAAAAAGATATTTTGGCCTTGGAAAGGGTTCAGAAAAGGGCAACTAAAATGATTAGGGGTTTGGAACGGGTCCCATATGAGGAGAGGTTAAAGCGACTGGGACTTTTCAGTTTAGAGAAGAGGAGACTGAGGGGGGATATGATAGAGGTCTATAAAATCATGAGTGGTGTGGAGAGGGCCGATAAAGAAAAGTTATTTATTAGTTCCCTAAATAGAAGACCTAGAGGACACCAAATGAAATTAATGGGGAGCAGGTTTTAAACTAATAAGCGAAAGTTCTTCTTCACACAACGTGTAGTCAACCTGTGGAACTCCTTGCCAGAGGAGGCTGTGAAGGGTAGGACGATAATAGTGTTTAAAGAGAAGCTAGATAATTTTATGGAGGTTAGGTCCATAAAAGGCTATTAGCCAGGGGATAAAATGGTGTCCTTGGCCTCTGTCTGTCAGAGGGTGGAGAGGGATGGCAGGAGACAAATCGCTTGATCGTTGTCACCCTCTCTGGGGCACCTGGTGCTGGCCACTGTCGGTAGACAGGATACTGGGCTAAATGGACCTTTGGTCTGACCCAGTACGGCCATTCTTACGTTGTTATGTTCTTATGTTAAGCCTGACTGATCAAAGCACTATAACAATAAAATCAAACTGAGATTCAGGCATACTCAGCTCTCATCCCACCATCTTTCTCCAAGGAGTTATTGATGGGGATGGAGCAAATCTGGGAAGGGGAGAGATGGAAGCATTTGAGTGACTCATTACTTTTTTTTAAAATGGAGGCACTGTGGATCTGTTCAGGGTTTTAGAAGGATATTTTTCATTATATTAAGTGGGTCAAAGGGTACTTGGGTCTTTCCCCTCCTTTGTATTCCATGAGTGGAATCTGGAGACAACTGCATTATGGCACTACACTGCCCTAGTACTAGTTGGGCTTAATAGAAATGATCTTAATAAGCTAGTGTAATTCCATGGTCTTCACTGAAGTTCTATTTTGTTTTACAATGATATAAGTGGATTTCAGAAGCACTGTAAATATGAAGACACCCAATATATTTGGTTATTTAAAAATAACCCACTAATATTTTAGGCTGGGCATGACGTTTCTTTCCACAGATGTGCCTCTTCCTAAAGAGACAGTTGACTTGTCTTGATCTCCTGAAGAAGAATTTATGGAATCAATTCTGCATTGCTTAATGTTGTGGATTGAGTCTTAACACACAGATATCCCATTTCTTATCTGATCCTATATATGCGACTTGGATTATTAAGAGGATGAAACTCATAATTTTCTCTCTAATGAACTATGGATATTGCTAGGATGTTGCTGTGATGTAGTGGGGGTACCTGGCTGGTTTCTATGCTGCTGGCTCTGGGGTAACCCCCACTGGCTGCTGTGGGTACCACGACCCAGCAAAACAGGATGAGTCACTATGCAAACCAGTATGGCCAGACACCCCCCATGGAGAGGAACAAAGGAAGGTGGAATGCTGCCCTGGCTGGGGGGCAGGGCAGGTAGAGAGTTAGTTGGTTGCTGTCTGAGAGCATGGAGGAGACAGCCTAGGGAAAGGGGCTGGAGTTTAGGGGCCCAGTCTCCCCCATCTCAAGGGGGCCTGAGGCATCCTAGCCCAGCTCTGTGACCAGATTCCATCTGTGCTGTGCTGCATCCTGGAGAGGCAATAACCTTCCTCTATTCCACCGGCTGGTGCAGTCTGTTTGTGCCATTTCGGGGTGCAGGAGACGGGGGACCCCCAACTCACCATCACAGTTGCTAATACCAGTTTCCCCTTATTCCCCCTCTGGCTGTGAACCCCATTCATTCATGAATGAATGTATAATATTGTGTTGTTTCTTGAGAAGTTCATGAAAGGTGCGCGGAGAAAGAACCTGCCTCTCTGAGCCTCAGGCTATATCATTTCAGCTGTTGCCTCCCTCTTGAACATTGTTCAGCATGTGATATTTCTACTTTCCACATTTAAACAAAAAACTTTAATAAATAATTTCTAGAGAAGACTGAAATATTGCTCCCATAGCATCACTTAAGTGTGATTGAACAATTGTCCCATGTGGAGTCTGAGTCGTTTACCTCTTTTCATAAGGTAACAGTTGTGAATTTACAACTATGTTTATTTTCTGTGTGCAGTCAAGATTTTCCTATGAGGAGCATTTCTATCTTGAAATTTTTAGTGTTTTTCTGATTAATCGGATACCTGTTCTGGGAACTACATAAGGTGTAGTTTTGTTTTGACTGCTTCCAAAGTCAGTGCAATTGATTGCATTGGTTCAAGGAGACCTGATTGGCTGCTGATAGTTCTGTCTGCTTTTTTTTCCCTTTTGATTCTTTTTGCGAATATAAGTCTTTAAAGAAACCAAGAATCACATACTGAAAGTTCATGTGTGGGCGTTAGATCAGAAACTTAAGTAACCCCCAGTTTTTAGAGAGATCAGTTGTGTTCTCAGTTCTGCTGCTACAGACAGTGCTGCTTATTAGCATATCCTGTGTCATATTGAGTTAATATATCTTTCCTTTCCTGTTCCCAGCAAGGAAGTTCCATAAATTAGCGTATATAACCCACACACGTGTATAAACCACACCCGTGCATAACCTGCGGTTTTTCCTGAATGAGTAAAAAAAGTTTTAGATAACCCACGGACGTGTATAACGCTACTTTATATACGCTTATATACGCTTTATATACGCTACTTTAAGGTAATTGCACATACCTGCTGCCAGCGGGGGGAATGTAGAGCAAAGCACAGGCGAGCAGGCCGGCCTGTAGGAGGTGAGCCGCATTCGCACCCAGAGTGGCAGCTGCAGCCAGGCGCAACCCACCCTTCTCCGGGTTGGGGGGATGGAGACCACAGCACAGGCGAGTAAAAATAAACTTGTATATCCTGTGGACATGTATATCCTGCAGGGGGAAGGGGTTTGTAAAAATGTGTATAACCCACAGGTTATATACATTAAAAGACAGTAGTCACAGTCTCTCTGGGAACAGGGGATGAACAGGGATCAAATTGAGCCAGTTCAGTGGTTCATTCAGGAGATGTTGGTAAAACGAGAGATAAGGGATCTTTCGGAAAAGGCTTTATTTTCCGAAAGATCCACGTCTAGACTGGTGTTTTTTTCCGGCAAAGCTCTGAGCTGGAAAAAAGCGGCAGCCATTTTTATGCTAATGAGGCGGGAAGGATTTACATCCCCGCTTCATTTGCAATTGCGATATGTCTAATTTGCATCCCTTTTACGAAAAAGGGATGCAGTCTAGACACAGCCCCAGTGAATTGTTTGAGCTAGTGTCTACGTAATCCTGGGGACTGAGTGAGGACTAGCTGCCTCTGGTTCAATTTATGTGAGATGGGCATGGGGAAAACAGATGGTAAGCTAAGCAAAAGTCACAATTCTGAGGCAAGCTGAGGGAGGGTGATGTCCATTTTTACTGGAAGTGCACTGATGTCATGGTAAAACCTGGGTAGGTAGCAACTATGCTTGGGGAAAACAGCTAGTCACTTTTACTTCCAAAGCAGAACTTGGCACATTTACCTGGTCCTTTGTCACCTTGGGAATGGATTGCCTTAATGTGCTCTCCATAAAGCTTCTCCTGGGACTGCTCATAACTCAGAATGTAACACATTGCCATAACCTGATTATTAAGTGGAGTTTCACATGAGAAATACAAGAGTACTCTTGAATTTGTAGTGGCAACTTAAAAGTTTCTGGCTGGAATTCCAGGTTGATATTAAGCCATAAAGCTACATGTGGTTTGGTCAGTAGCTGCCCCAAAAACTGCTTTTCTTCCTGCACTATTCTGTTGCATTGCAGTTCAGGGGAGGCATTCAAGTCTGAAGCCTCTTGGATATGGTGGGGGCATTCTCTGTTTTGGATTGTTTTCTCCTCACCTGATGTACCATGGCCTACAATATGTGCATCTCTATGTCATGCTGTTTTTAGCTAGGCACCTGGGGAAGGATACACTGAGGATTTAAGAGGCTTTGTGCACTATGGGAGTTATTTTATGTGCAGGTGTGTGTCTTATTTTATTCTGGGAAGGGTGGAGTATTCATGAAATTGAAATTAAGTTGTCAGGGTACCAGAGTTTCTTAAATGATTTATCATTGCAACTAAGAATGAATATAAGAAAAATAAGACCAATGTGATGTATTTAAAAATGGGAAAAGTTATTTGGGTATTTATAATGAAGTAAATAGGAAAATTGGGGAGAAAATGATTGTTTGAATAAACTTACATGCTAGCAAATTAATTCATATCGCTAAGCTCCTCTCTGCTTGTTTCCTTATGTTTTTTCTACATATGCGAATCAACCTTTTTAATGACATTCAACAACTAAACTGTTGTAGTATAGTAGATAGAACAAGTGATATAATATATCCAAAAACTTACCACTGTGTGTCTAAATTAAATACTTATTTACTATACTGAATTTAAAGGGGCCTGAACAGGTCTGCTTCATTTTACAATGCTGTAATCCAGCAATTCTTAAACAGAAGGCTACAGTTTACTTTGCAGTGTAAGCTGAGTCAGCTCCTTGCACAGGGCTTCAAGCAAGGAAGGAGAATTCTCCTGGAAAATAATTAACCTGAGGCCATCAGGCTCTGCTGAGAGAGGCAATTTCCAAAGATATGGTTCAAAGAAAGCACTGACCTTACTGTTCTTCAAAATAGTGCATACCTGGTTAGATGCCTCACTGCGTATTAATTTCCCAGCCCTAAAGAAACATTCTTATGGCAGGGTCATGTGGGGACATGGCTACTGGATGAGCTTGTAGAACTTCAAATAAGTAAATGTCATCCATGATAGAGCTTCAAACCTCATCATTTCCAGTTCTGTGTAGTCCTTCACACTTGATAATATTATTCCCTTAGGGTACATCTACACTAGCCCCCTAGATCGATCTAGGGAGGCTAATGAGGGCGACCGGAATTGCAAATCAAGCCCGGGATTTAAATATCCCATGCTTGAGTTGCATGTTCCCGGCCGGTCGCCATTTTAGAAATTGACTAGCCCGAAGTAACTGCCTACATGCGGCAGTGAAACGGGATTCTGATTCAAACCTCCTGCAATGAGGTTTACCAGCTAATTCAAATTAGGGGCTTTAAATCAGAATCCCGTTTCACTGCAGCAAGTAGACACAGGCAGTTACTTCGGGCTAGTCAATTTCTAAAATGGCGACCGGCCGGGAACATGCAACTCAAGCATGGGATATTTAAATCCCGGGCTTGATTTGCAATTCCGGTCGCCCTCATTAGCCTCCCTAGATCGATCTAGGGGGCTAGTGTAGATGTACCCTAAGGGAATAATTTTTAATGGAAAATATTATTTCAAGAATCTCATTCATGTAGGGGGAGCAGGATTTTTCCCTAAATAACTTCTTCATTTTTGAAAGCCTCTACCGATAATTTGACAATTACATTAGCCAATTGTATTTTCTCACTGATCTCATACCTCATTTTCCATTCATTTATTTGCACAAATATAATAGGTTTACATCAGTGGAGTTGCAATTGATGTTCTTTGGCATATGTGAGCAGAGAATCAGGTCCTCTTGTTTTAGACATGGATTCATGCAACTTTTTCATATCACTTATTATCTTATCTTGTTCCCACACAAGAATCAATTTGGTTTATTTTCATCAGTAGTTTTGTTCAGAAGAGATTCATACTCTATGTATTTGATCAACATGGACACAGATATCTGAAATTTTAATTTTTTGCTTCATGTATGATTCATAATAATAACTTAGATTTTTATCAAAATGTAAAGTTTGGCCCAGTATAAATTGTATTGTTAATTATCTCTTTTTTAGTGAAACATAGAATTATAGAATCAGAGTACTGGAAGGGACCTCAGGAGGTAATCAAGTCCAGTCCCCTGCACTCATGGCAGGAACAAACACCATCTCTGGCAGCTGTTTCTTTAAACTGCTCTTAAAAATCTCCAATGATGGAGATTCCACAACCTCCCTAGGCAATTTATTCCAGTGGTTAACCAAGCTGGCTGTTAGGAAGTTTCTTGATGTTCAACCTAAACCTACTTTCTGAAACTTAAATCCATTGCTTCTTGTTCTAGCATCTCCTTTCAACAACCTTTTAGGTACTTGAAAAGTGTTATCATATCCCCTCTCAGTTTTCTCTTTTCCAGCTTAAACAAACCCAATTCACAAGTCATGTTTTCTAGACCTATAATCATTTTTGTTGCTCTTCTCTGGACTTTTTTGAATTTGTCTGTGTCTTATCTGAAATGTAGCACCCGGAACTGCACACAATACTCCTGTACAGATTATGCCAATTACTACTTCTCTAACCTTCAGTGGACATGGAGAACAGTTGTTCACCTTGTTATTTGTAATCACCCTTAACATATTTGAAGATTATTTATTATCAGGTTCCTAGTTACTCTGTTTTTCTCAAGAATAAACATGCCCATTTTTTTATCCTTCTAGGTCATTTTTTTTCCAAACTTTTTTTTTTTAATATCTCCTTTGTACTCTCACAGTTTAGCAAGAAGAGTTAAGGGAAAAACAAGACCAAGTGTTAATTTCAGTGGCTTTTCTTAATCTTTATCTGTCACTTGAGATATTTTTAAGATACCAGTCACCAGCTCTTCAAGGTACCAAAATCTTTGTATCTCATAGTATGTCATCTGTTTTCCCCATGCTTTCAGGAATCTCAGCCAAAACAGCAGTGTCTAGTGCTTGCTTACAGAACTGCTCTGCTCCCAGAATGTACTCTAGTTAGAGAATTTAAGACAGAGAGCAAACTCCTTTGCTGCTTGCCACAGTGCTCCAAACAGAAATACATAAGAATGGCCATACTGGGTCAGACCAAAGGTCCATCTAGCCTTGTGACAGTGTCCTGTCTTCTGACAGTGGCTAATGCCAGGCACCCCAAAGGGAATGGAGAGATAGGTACTCAAATGATCCATCCCATGTTGCCCCTTCCCAGCACTGACAAACAGAAACTAGGGACAGCATCTCTACCCATCCTGGCTAATAGCCATTGATGGGACCTATCCTCCATGAATTTATCTATCTCTTTTGATATTGTGAAAGCCAATTAATGTCTTGGCCTTCACAATATCCTCTGGCAGGGAGTTCCACTGATTGTGTGTTATGTGAAGAAATAGTTTCTTTGCTTGTTTTAAATGTGCTGCCTCTTGATTTAATTTGGTGACACATGGTTCTTTTGTTACAGGAAGGAATAGATAACATTTCCTTATTTACTTTCCCCACACTACCACAAAATTAACAAAATGAAGCATTTTCAAAAGATGGAACAATGTCCATATAATTAATAAAAGCTATCTATAAAACAATGTCTAACTGTGCCATTTGATGTCTCCCACCATGTTGTGGGATTGGTAGGCCCATCCCTCTCTACAGGCAAGCCACATGCTCTAAGGTCTCGTGGCTAGGGTTCAGTCCCATGTGACTTGTTTGTCTAAGTCTTTGTCCATAGTTTAACTACCCAGACAACCTGACTGGACAGTTGGAATCAATAGCAAAGCCTTGTTCTTCCAGGGCCTTGTGCCCTAAGAGCCAAGGTCAATAACACCACCCTCCTCTTGCAGGGCAGTATGGCTTAGTTGGCAGAGTCAATAACAGTGCCATCCTCTTGCAGGGTGCTGTGGCCTAGCAGCTGTAGTCAGTGACATGGTATGCAGGTTCACCACCTGGCGTTCACAACACACTGCTCCAGCAGGGCAACTATCTCCTTTGCCATTCCCAGTCAGCAGCATTGAAGGAGGGACTGTGACTGTTTCAGACTGGACCATTGGGAGGAGAGAGGTATGGGGTGGATGGAACTTTTCATTGTCTGACAGACCAGGAGCACAATTCAGGTAAGCATGAGTAGGCATGAGAGGTAGGAATACTAATAATGTGGAGTAGGTGACCGAACCCTTTAATATAACTGAGGGGACTTTACTGAGTAACTGTTAGGCAGTCAAAGAAAGTAGAAAAGGAGTCTATTGTTAGTTGTTTCAGACTTAGTTTTCTGTCCAATTCTCGAGTGTTCCCATACCTGCACATACCTCACTTTGGTTCAGAGTGCCACGCTCTCCAGGTTTACCCTCCTGCTGAGAGCAGTCAGGTGTACTTCAAAAGGTTCCAAGGTTTGGTTTGGCCAAGCATCAAACAGTTTGCCTGCTTATCTGAAACTTGTCCCAGCCTTTTAGTTCTAGCATCATTATGGAAATCTGTCAAGAACCGGCTCTCTTACGAAGTTTCTTGTACTTCTCAGTTCTGGCCACATTACTAATACTGTGACAAATGCTTTTTGGAGGAGCAGGCGTGACCATTCAAAAATATAATTTGCCATCATTCGTAGTGCTATCTGAAATCTCACTGTTTCCCCTGTAGGGCTCAGGGAGGGGCTCCTCCCCCTCGGGGTCAGTGCATGGCCACTCTGCCCCACTACACCCAGCATAGTCTTTTTCAGGGAATTAGCTGTGGCTTTTCAGCACTGGGGCAGTCCGCAGTCTCAGATAGCAGTCAGCAGGCAAATAAACAGTCCAGAGCACAAGCCCTTGCTCAAGGCGGAGCAGCCTGCAAATAAACAGTTCAGAGCCCCAAGCCTTGGTTCGGGGTGGGGCGACAAACAAACAGTCTTAATATGCATATAGGGTTGCCAGATGGTTGAACCAAAAATACTGAACACCGCCCCTCCCAAAAAAAACCCACCAGGGAAAAAATTCTGTTAAGGTTAAAGAAAAAGGGGGGGGGGAGAGACCAAAGTTGCTGAGGGGGGGAAAAAAAAAAGGACTCTGAGACTTATTAAGCAAAAACAAAAACAATAAATAAATAAATAATAAAACAGCATTAAAACAGCATGGCCCCTTTCAGAGTGAGTGCAGAGTTAGAATAGGGATAGAAACAGGGGAGCGGTTGAGCACTAAGACCCAGGGAAAGCATTTCTTCCCCTTGGTCTTTAGGCTTTTTGCTGGCCGTCATTTTGTGTTCTTGTTCAAGCCAGAACTTAGCTTCCCTGCGGAACCAGGTAAGTATGAGGTACGGGGGGCGGCGGAGTGTCGGGGTACAGCAGGGAGGGAAGGCCGGGTGCCAGTGTTGCCAGATGTCCAGTATTTTCGCCTCCAGGCATGGAAAAAAAACAGAAAATACCAGACATTTTAGGTGTCCGGTATTTTCTGAATTTTTTTACTGAACAGGAGGTGAAAATACCGGACCGTCCGGGTCAATACCGGACACCTGGCAACCCTATATGCAAACCCTGCTGGATCCCTTTGCTCAGGCCGGGGTGCGGAAGGTTCAGGCTGCTGTTCAGTAACAGCCAAGAGGGGAGACTGCCACCCTCACCCCAAGAGTGGGGTGACAGGGGGATCGCAGGTCCACCCGCTCCACTGCGTCCCAGCCCAGGGCCCTGGTAGCAGCAGAGCAGTCTGCTGCTGAGTCAGCAGGGATCTGCACCGCAACACACTGACCTGGCTCTGGCCCAGCAAAATGGTGGTCAGTTATCCCTGGGTTCTTTCCACACTCTCACTCACGCTGTACCTGGATCCAGTGCAAGTCCTCTGGGCTTTGTCACTCGGGAACCTCTGGCCCAGTAAGCAGTCCTTCCCAGCAGCCACGCAATCGTGGGCCCGGCAGCCTAGGCCAGTCCTTGGCTTCCCCTGGGTTCAACTCCTCCTTTGGGTGCACAGGGGAGACTTCTGGCTCCTTTGGTCGCTAGACCCTCACTGGCCTCTCTACAGGCCTTTTATATCCCCAGCCTGCCTCCTGGTTTCTGGTCAGGTGGGTCGCTAAGGCCAGGTGCTGCCCACCAAGGCTCAGGGAGGGGCTCCTCCCCCTCGGGGTCAGTGGGCGACCACTCTTCCCCACCATACCCCTCATACTTATGATAGGATGGATCAGTAGCAAACTTTGTTGAACTGCTTGGCAAATGTTTAACTATAATAAATGATCTTTCAGCATTTCCATTTCTGCCCTTACGATAAAACCTTCTAGCATCTAACCTTCTCAGGGCCAGGACCTTGTCTTGCTCCCTGATTGTACTGAGCTCATCTCTATGGTTGGCAGCTCTTTTTATTGAGGCCTGTGGGTGCTACTACAAAATGAATAACAAGAATGGTGAATGATAACATTTCTATTGAATGGTTAAACACTTTGCAGAAGTGTGATCCTCTATAGACTTCAACAGGGCTGTTTAAACATTCCGTAGAAAGAATCTCATTCCCCATTTAATTATCTAGCTTTTTAGAGTAATTGCTTGAGAATCATATTTAACATCATTAAAATATTTTTCTTCTTGTGAAATTATTCACTTTCCGGTAAGATGCTTAATATTACATATTAATAACGCAAGTTAACTTGCTGGATCTACATATATGTGTTCTGCATCTTGGGATGATTTAAACTGCAGTTATGTTATTGATGGACTAGGGATGAAAATTTCAAAGGAGTTTGAGAGTGAAATGCCTAACATCCATTGACAGTCAATTGGAGATGGCCATGTATTTTACTTGGGCCCTTTGGAAATTGTAGACCAAGTAACCTTTCTTCTGGGTAAGGCTCTGTTCTGTCCATGAGAGTTAATGATTGTGTGCAGGGGAGCTGTTTTCTCTTCAGTGTTAGTGAATATTTGCAGATTGTGAGTCAATACTCTGCCGGTGTTTTTCAGGTAGTCACTGATCAATTTTGTCACTGAATGATTGCTCCTTTCATCAGTAGACTTTTTTTAAAAAGGAGCAAACCAAAGATGAATCAAGACTCAAGTGGCACTCTCCAGGATGCATATAACTTTTGTTTCATCCTAGGGTATGTCTACACTGCTGGTCACACTGGGATCCAATGGCCAGTAGAAGGGTCTTGAGCTGCCCGGGATTCCATAGGGCCTAGGGGTTAGGGCAATGGTTGTGGGTTCAAGCCCTGCCCATCTGGAGAGCATCACACACACACCTACACCTTGCAGTGCTGTGCCTGGGAGCAAGTGCTGCCTTAAGTGTGCAGGCATGTCTGTGTGCCATTTGCAGCACCCCAGATCATGAGCTGTGCTCCCTCGCCCTGGGTAAGCCTGCCGGAGCTCCTTAAGTTTATTCTGGACAGGGTCCTAGTGTGGTCCTTTGTGGCCAGGCTCTCAGCCTTAGGGAAAAGGGCACCCTGAGTGAACTTGTATGTTGGCATCCCTGCTCTTCCCTACTCCAGACCTGGTGCCCCCCCATTTCCTTTGGTTGCAATGGGCTCCACCACCCCTCGATCCCCATCCTGTGTCCCCTTTGCCATTAACTCCTGACTCTTCTGCACTGTAACTCCTACACTATGCCCCAACCCCAACATTTTGTTACCTTCACCCAGCCACTGCACAATATTATCTTCAACACCTGCACTTTCCTCTCACCTGCACCCCCCTTCTCCAGTTGTGGGTTGCCAGTGTGCCTACCACATTGCCTCTCTGTCCATTATCACCCAACAACCTTATGCCAGTGGTTTCAAACTTTTTGGCCCATGGCTCACCTGGCTCAGTGCAGACTTTTCCGTGGACCCCCAGTTGCTAATGGAAACTTGCCGTTAATTACATAATTACACCCGAGCCATTTTGCTAGTGCTGCAATGGTGGAGAACAGTTTAATTTAACCAGTCAGAAAGGAAATATTAATTCAAATGATTGAACAGAGTAAGCACTTAATTTTCTCATGTTAGTTTATGAAACTTAATTTTAAATAAAGTAAAATATTAATTTATATCCAACACAAAAGATTTCTTTATTTATGGTGGGGGTGGGGAATCATTTTTTGGGTCGGTGGCCACAGAAAAATCAGTTGGGGATCATAGAAGTCAGAAGGAAAACATGCAAAC